TGACTCCTTGTTGCCTTACGCTCTCAGTAGTTACATACTTCTGTGTAAGTGGAAGCTAAAATGCTGTTCTCTTGGAATGTTTACCTTTTGAACTTCATGCGAATTTGATTTAAAAAAGCTGACAAAGTGGAGAACCAACATTACAATATCACACAAAAGTCAAGTCACTACTTTAAATGCCAAACTATATAACTTGGATATGAATACAGGGTCTGCTAATAGCAGAAAAACATGAAAAGAGAAAATCTTCAATAGGTTTGACTCCTGAGCATCTCTGCATGTGGACACCAAATAAAATCTCCATTAGCATTCAAGTAACTGAAGAGCATGAATTTAAAATGCACCAGTTACGCTACTTTAACCTGACAGTATTGATGGGCGATTGATTGACCTCAAGTGTAGTACTGGTTTTCCCTAGATTCAACGCTGGCAAATTTCCAAATGCCATCCAAACAGATGTAAGGCTCAGCCCACCTCACTAAGACTGCTTGGCCGACCTCTGCCACTCCCTTCCTTCCTTCTTCCCCTTGGAGCCACATTACCTACACGGTATTTGTGCTTCAGTAGCGTAGAGAGGAAACCACCGGAAACAAGCTGTATTCCCCTGCACTGCTATACCCCGATGCCAGTTCTTTTCAGCAAACTGTCAGAGCTGAAACGAACTTACCTGGTCCGTGGGAAGAGAGCAGGTCTCAGCAAAATACACTACAGCTTGCAGTGAGGTCAAAGCCGCCCAAGCAGAGGAGGTCAGTGGGAGACTGAGACTCTCAATCCCTGAAAGTCTCAATAAATTGCTACTTAAAAGATTTAGTAGTAGAAAGACACTTGTGAGTATGAAGATACCAAACACATCATCTGTTAGGGACAATTCAGAATCACTGTGAAATCAGGCCAAAGAGTTAGGCCAGATCCAAATATTTTTTCTCCTGTTAGGAAATTATAAAATGCCTTGGCAAGATGGGTTCAAACCTGCCTACTTTCTCTTGGAATGCTATTTCTGGTAGGAGTGCCATACCAGCAAATGCACCTTAATTTCTGAGGGCCTGATTATTCACTGTTTTGCATACTATGTACCCATCTCTTCACACTTGTACAAAAAAGGTAAAAAAAAAAAAAAAGGGCTGCCAAACAAGTGTCTTACATTCCACAGGAGCAATTATTTTTAAAAACAAGAAGAAAAAGAAGACAAGAGTCCGTAGGTGGTATTTGGAGAGTCTTGCTGTGTTACTCTTTTTGAAATCAGAAATATATTACCAAGTACTCTGTGCTCAATAGAGCTAAGCAGACATTTGTTGGCGTCTGTGTTTCTCTGAAGAGTACGGTATCTCTTCTTACTGGAAGCTTTTTCCCCATCTTCTCGCCATTTACAGCAGGGGCATTCTTTTATTTTTCGTTCTCCTTGTATACCGGGATATTTATGATCTAATTCTCTCTCCTGTCCTATAGTCTAATTCCTGCAGTATGAGCTTTCTAAGTCAAATGCCTTCTAGCTCCTATTCCTATTTTTATAAGCTAGAAAACAAAAGACACAAACAGCACAGTCTTTAACCTTTTTTCCTAGGCCATGCTATCAATATATCGTTAACTTCCTATTTTGCTACCAGAAAACAGAAAGATAGGTATGTGTACCTATAGCTAGGCACATGACCAGTTTTATAAACCGATTCTTCTAGGATGAGTGTTTTTATTTCTAGGTAGATGTGTGCAGCAGACAAATATCTGAATGAGGATGAATTCTGCAGGTCCTAAGAACATATGCACGCAAAGTTAAGCTTTATACAAGCAAGCAGTGGAAAAGCACCTGTTTAGTGGTGTACTTTAATTTAAACACGGGTCTTCATTGGCAGATCTCAAATAACACTCAGAAAAGGAACTGACTGAGATTTGCTTTCTTTTCTTTTAAAAGCACCCTGCAGACATAACAAAACTGTTACTAATGGATCCTCTTTGGGTTTGAGTCTCCACTGAAGCTTTTTGTCTAACTGGTTTATCCGGGAGGTATTTTTTCTCTTTCATCTAAATAGAGGTTCTGTGACGGCTCCTGCAACTACTTTCATTATGCAAGTACAAGATCTTTCTCAAACCTAGTCACCTATTTTCACCAAACATGTAGCCTTTGAAGCCTCCATTCTTCTGCGAAACCTAGCTGAAATTGGCCAACAAGGTAGCCACCGTTCCCTCTTCCCTGCAATTGACGGGGAAGGACTCAATGATAGACATGTATGACTGCACAAACACTGTTCCTTAGGAAACTAGCCTTAAAAAAAAAAACAGGTCACATGTTAAAGCTTCATACAATTGGGGGTTTGAGATGTGCTAAATCTTGCACGCTTTGCACAGTACTATTCACTTGAATAGAGCTAATCACTCAAATTGCATAAAGCTAAGTGCTTGTTTAAATCCTCACATGACCGATGACTAATGTTCAGTATTCAAAATTCTGTCCAAAGACAGAGGAACTGATTGTTTCATTCGAGCATTCAACTCTCTCATTAATCAAAGTAATTTAAATCTCTATTGTTTAAAATATCTAAAAAGCATGACCTTGTTTAATCTATAGCTTCTGCTTTTGTTCTTTTGGAGAATTTTGCATAGTAGTTCGAATGAGACTTAAGTTCCACATTCTATGATGAATATTGAATAAGGAAGACAGAGACAAAAGCTCAGATTGATGGTGCTCACTGCAAGTGGATCCTTGTACCTAAGCGGAACTCCTTGACTTGACCTTAAGTATAATGGGCACTGACCATTTAAGCGGATATAAACAATTGCCTGAAAATTCCTCAATGTATGATGGTACTATAAAATATGAAGTTTAAATGCTTCATCTTCTTCAGCAACTTATTAAGCTTTTAGAAGAAAGGCATCTACTTAATTTGTATTGCTGTATCTCAAAGAGGCGCAATCTGTAATTAGAAACCCCACTGCTAGCTTTTTGGGCATGGAATAACTTTGTTCTGTTTATACCACGTGAAGCCCAGCTGGGTCCTGCTTGTGTCTGGGATACCTAATTATAGTACAGTATGGTATCAGTGCTAAAACTTTCAGAAGTGACTCAAGAAAATACTTCCCCTCAAGCTGTGCCTCCTCCCTATCCCCCTCAAGAAGTTTTGCAAGCTGCTGTAAGAGAAGCCAGAATTCAGGCAGCGACCTTTCCCCCTTCTCTCCCCTCCCCACCCAAACTTCCAACCGTTTCAGCGCGGGATCCGCTTCTCCCAACAGCGCTGCGCTGGTCGTCTTGGGAAGGCGCCCATGCACGCAGCCTCCTCCGGGCGGCGCCCGCGCAGAGGTAGGTGGGCTCCCTCCCGCCAAACCGACTGAAATCCTGTAAGCCGAGATTCAAAAGCAGCAGTGTTAAATTAGCAGGAAACCTTCAGGTGGCGGAAGCTACTTCTTGGAAGAGGCACAACGCCTATCCAACATCTACGTGAACGTGACTCTGCCCCTTGAGACCAACAGGAGAAACTGAGGTTGAAACGCAAGCTCGTGCAGAGAAAGGAACTTCAGCCAACACACACGGCAAACCCATGGGCCGAGATTCAAAAGCAGCAGTGTTAAATTAGCAGGAAACCTTCAGGTGGCGGAAGCTACTTCTTGGAAGAGGCACAACGCCTATCCAACATCTACGTGAACGTGACTCTGCCCCTTGAGACCAACAGGAGAAACTGAGGTTGAAACGCAAGCTCGTGCAGAGAAAGGAACTTCAGCCAACACACACGGCAAACCCATGGCGGGAAGAGGGGGTCTCGGTGCAGCCGCCCTACGGAAGGTCTC